TCGTACGGAACTCTTCAGCGATGAGCATACACAATCCCGCAAGCGGTAGTCAAACCTAGAACCTTCAGTCTTGCACTCGAACACTTAATCTTTAGACCACTGAACCGGTATCCAACGGTGTTAATGTTTAACTTTAACCAACCCACGAAGTTGTATGATAATCTTCCATTATCTTAGGTAGGTAACTGCTGCACATCCGACATAGATTATCTCCACTGTTCATGGTCAAGTATAATTATATACCAAAAAAATAATAAACTTTGAGTAGTAACAGATAAAACAATTGAATAATCTTGACTTTCATCTTTTGTTTGTTTTAATGAGCAATTTCTATTTTGTAATTCTTGTTGAATAACATAAAAATCAAAACAATATTGAGATAAAATGCCGAAATAAAGCTGATTTTCACGTGTAATTCACATTTGTCATTTACATTATGATTGTAAAATGTGTGTTTTTTTAAGTTCTACAAGAGTTAAAATATAAATGATGCACTTTATTTTAATTTTTGTAAAAGTTTGACTTCTTTCATTGTCCATAAATAGGACAGTAGTTGATCATTCTCATTTGAAATATATGTACCTTGAATGGATAGTTTTCTATTGCTTTTTAGTGACAAGGTTCTTGGTAAATTTGTATTGTGGTTGGCAGTCGGAACCAAAACACATGGTTAGTGTTATTTGAGACTTTTTAAATGAAGATACTTGTTACATTGCAGTGTTGTGTTGACACTGAAATTGCAACTGGTCACTTATTGCATTAAACGTCAAAACATTATTCATTCAGCTACTAATGTCTAGTCAATCATTAACTTATTTTTTTAAATTATGAATTGATATGAACAAGTATTTAAAACCTGGGAACACGTGAAAACTGTTTCTCTCTGGTGTAAGGCTCCTCAGGAGTGTGCATCCTCAACCCTATTACCTATGGGTTTCAACCGTGTCGGGTGTGAAGAAGTCACTCCCTGAAGACAATAAAAGATGGTTGTACAATATCATGGGTTCCTTGAAACTATATCTGTACACCTTTGGATCCTAGCTTGGTTTTCGATAAGTTAAACTTTCGTTCGTGAAATCAAAGATTCTAGATTCGATGGCTGATGGGAAGTTGCAGATAAACATTGCTAAGAAATCCCATGCCAGAACGAAACAGCTGACCAGTGTTTTGAAGTTCTCAATGGTTATTTAACTTAGATTAGTTCGTAGTCTCACTAAAATTCAACAATCTCTTCAACTCCCGTAATGATTTAAATAATATGCAAGTATTTGTAGGGGCTTGTATTAACTGCTTTTTAACTCTGAACATCAACAACAAAAAAATATGATTTCAATATGTGAAATTTCTAAAACCTCCACAAACTCCTTCTGATAATAATCATCTGCTCACTAGTGACTGACTTCAAGAGATACTCCTGGAGCTCTAGTGGGAACCCGTTACCAGTGGAGTTCAACCAGGTCTGTTGTGAGATAGTAACTCACTGAAGACACTGGTATACGGTGGCGCAACTTCGTGGATTAGTTGAAGCTAGACATTAACACCGTCGGATGCCAACCGGTTCGGTGGTCTAATGGTTAAGTGCTCGCGCGCGAAGCCAGTAGGTCCTGGGTTCGAATCCCGAGGGGTGAGGAATCGTGGGTGCGCACTGCTGAGGAGTCCCGTACTAGGACGAGACGGCCGTCCAGTGCTTCCAGGTTTTCCATGGTGATCTAGCTTCAATCGACTTATGATTTCAATCTGTGAAAAAAATATGAGTCTAGAACAAATCAACAATTGTCTTAATTCCTTGGTGAACTAAGTGTTGGCGTTTGAAATGACAAGTACCAAATTCCAGTCCTAATGTTTGTTTTCAATTAATGATATAATGACACATAGTCCAGTATTGTCCATTAACTGAATACTATAAATCAGTATGTAATGATCATTTAATTTTTGTCATCCTTCAACATTCATTATTAATTGAAACTTACAACTTTAATATTTTTTCATGTTCTATAGTTTTGACAAATATGCACTAATAACTTCAGTAATAAAGAGTTATTATCTAAGATAAATAGAGTTAATTCATTGGCACAACAAGATCGACACCGGGTTCATAGAAGTAATTAATTCAATGATGGTAATATTAAAAGAAACAATGCATATAAGCATATAGTACAGGAAGAAAGAATTAGTTGGTAGAAAGAAAGATATGAAGTGATTTTAATCTCACGGTTTAGGGGAAAACAAAGAGTGTATACACCAACATCATTGTGATTGATTCTGAGTCATGTCACACACAGTCTCCAACCACCGGTTACGATAGTCACGCGGACCCCAACCAAGTAGTCTGCATCTACCAACATGACTCAGACCAGAAGTTAGTGACTTCAAGGACTGGAGCCACGTTTTGGTTTTGCCGCCCCTAACTTTCTTCTAACCGTCTCTAACACTAGTCAGCATTGTGGGTCGTGATAATCGGTGTCCAGGCACACATAACACGTGGCCCAACCATCTCAGTCGATGAAGATTCACAACCTCATCAACTGATTTACCATCATTCCGTAATACTCTGCATCTGACTTCACTACTACTTACTCTGTTATCCCAGCAGATACGAGCAATATACCTGAAGTATTTGTGGTCAAATACTAGTAGCTTACGATTACGTTTCGTAGCCGCAGATTAGAACAGAACGAACTGCCGCGCAGTATAATCGTACCAGCATTCAGAGATGGAATCCCTGACAGCTGTAGGTTGAGAAGATCAAATTGAAGAGAACAAGAATGTAAATAGAGAGTAATTGTAATGACAACAAGAATGAAGTAACGATGAATTTTGGAAGAAACAGTTCCAAAAAGATGTGCTCTGTAATTGTGTATTAAATAATAAATTGTTTATCCCCACTTGAGAGTTCGCTCACCATATATATATATATATATATATATATATATATATATATATATATATATATATATATATATATATATATATATATATATTGTTCACGAACTTAGTTAATAAACTAAATGACAGTGGTTTGCCTTTTTATCTTAATTTCTTGGTTATTGGTAGCACTGTACCTTATACATAACACACGGGAACGAGTACAAGATTTAATGTTCATGAAGTGAATTAAATGTCATTATATTATTAAACCAGAATTCCATATTGTGAATTTTGAACTTCAGTTAGTTTGTTTGGCATAGTATGAATTTAAGAAATATAGTTGGAAGCTATAACAGATGAAGTTAATTGAATCCATAAAAAAATGATGACTTACTAATGATACAGGGAAGAATACCTTACTTGATCTAAATTTCGCTCAATTTGGTACTCAACAGGAATACGTACCTGGAATTTTGAACTAATTGATCTTACCTACGGCTTCAAATACTCGAAACAAGGTTTTTAGTCTAAGACGTTAATATTCAGCTATTAGGGCAGTGATTTTCTTATTATATGACCGAGATATTTGAAACTAATTGATTACTGAGTAGTGCCCAATGATATACTTGTCTAATCAATCACTACCCGAATAGATCAATGTTAACGTTTTAGACTGAAGCTTGGTGATGTGGGTTAGAATCCTATAGTGAACATCAGTTCCCATAAGATTAGAAATAACCTTGCTGACGAATAGCGACTAGTATGAAACCTCAATTCAATGTATCATGCTGACTACCTCATATCACCTTATATTAAAGTGGCGGACGAGATCTCAATCCATTCAAACTTGTGGCCACATTATAGCTTCTTTGACAAAACTCTGTCATCATTGAAAGACTTGGCAAATATGACATTGATTACTATTCAGTTATATATATATAAAACATGTATATGCATGATACTGATTTGTTTGAAGCCCTCGATAATTCTTCTGAAAGGTCTTCAGAAGCAAGGATAACTGAGATTATACTTCAACTAATTAAGGTCCTTTGAAAATTATAGAAAACGGGAAATTGTATTTTATTATATTGATTGAACAATAGCCTGTCTTGTTACCGCTTCCAGAATTTCAAGGTCACATAGAATTTTGTAAGTACCCTCGTTTCCTGTACACGAACTAACTATTGATGAATGCTTCTTAAATGCCTTCTGTCTTATGTTCCGTTCAGTATTGTGAGATTATCGGACTAATAATTCGTACATAAAACTCCAATTCTTTTGTACACTCTTGTTTGCTCAATAAATCTCAGTCAGATAGAATATAAAAGACAGTACTCTGATCAACGATTATGTCTCGACAAAATACAAGGCTCGAGTAGTAAGATTACAGAGACAAAAAAAATATCGATGGACTTCATTTCTGATTTTCGTAATAAATACAAATTAATTACTATCATTGTGCTTGTTCATGTTAGAAACAGTTTCCACGTTCTAGCGAAATAAATTCAACTATGCCGAGAATGAGACTGATATCATCAATGACAACAAATGATGGTTGGATAACATCGTAAATTAACTAAAGTTAGAAATGTAAATGGTCAGTGGTTCGAAGTTTACTTAACTACAGTGAAATTTAAAGGTGGTGAGTTCGATTCCTGATACAGTCGTAGGTAATCAGAGCTATTGAGTTGCATATTAGGAACGACTTAGTTGCCCAATAGTTCTTCAGCTCAAAATGATTATCTATCTAAAATCACTTTGAGGTATAAAGTAAAAGCTGTGAGCGTTGTATATCATAGAAAATGGTTTTTTTTTAGCTGTCCCCAAATATATTTCAATTTTCTATATAATAAATGTATACCTGAAAGAAAATTATTATGCCTAATATAGGCAATTATAAATGACTTTGTAACTAATACTAAATAACGCTGTTGAATACTGATTTCTCTAGAATGAGTAAAGATTATCAAATTGAATTGTAGAAAAACTACCAAAAACTACTATTTTATTTGTATTTTCTATCAAATATTAATAGTGTTATTAGTAGTAATAGTATTACTAAATGTTAAAGAATTTATTCCAATAAGATGAACAAAACAGGGTCTTTTGTGGGGGGGGGTTATGAAGATGGAGGACAAGTTAATTAGGGGTATAAAGTATACAATTGTACATGCATTTTAATAATCATAAAAGAAGTATCATGTTTTTTTTTTGCTCACTTGAGAGGGGGAGGGTAAGCAGCAGTTCGAGAAAGTCTATTAATAGTAATACTAATCAATAATGTAACAATAAAAGTCTATTTAATACTAATACTTGTATTCATTATAATAATTTTAACTTTTATAATGTAGATACTACTTAAATAAAATATGCTTGATATTGATACTTATGAAAATTGTAAAAGTGTGCGAAACAAAAGAAATTGTGTGCGTTTCCCTTTCATTCTACTCTCTTATAATGAATTATTGTTAAAAATCATCACAAATATATCATGAATACTAATACATATTGTCATAATAGATAGATAGTAAATGGATTACCAATCGTTTGAAGTAAAAGAAAGTGAGATGCATGGGTGTGTGTGTGTGTGCGAGTGATGATTTTTGTATATACAAATATAAAAGGAAGTAAGTGAGAGAGAGAGAGAGAAAAGAAAACACATGAAATTCCTAATTATTTTCAATCTGTCTTATACTACTAATAATAATAACACATTATAAACTCAAATAATCCATTGATTCATTTACAATAAACAGATTTGTTTTGTTTTGTAAAATTGAAATTTTACTTTGACAAATGAAATGAAGAGTAATACACAATGTTGTTATTAAAAAACTTCCATATTCAAGTTTATATTGTATTCAATTATGCAATTTTGTTGAATCGAGCTAATATTGATGTTGTACTTTTGATTAATGGTGTTGATGAAGGTGTTGTTGATAATAATGATGATGCAATTGATATAGTTGTATTCGTTACTGTTGTTGATAAGGGTGTTGTTAAACGAGGAGATGGTGATGATGATGATGACTCCGATGATGACCAGTGCTCTTTGTTGTAATTATCTGTTAGTCTACAGTTGAAATCATCTACTTGTTGATATGATGGATGAGTTGATTTTATTTCAAGTCGTTGACGATGACTTTGATGGTTGGGGTGGTGGGGATGACGATGATGATGACGGTGATGATGGGTTTTTCGATTAAATGTTCCAATGTCTGCTGAAGACGAACATGAAGAAGCAGAAGAAGGAGATGATGAAGATAAACACGAGGATGAAGATGATGATTTTGAATGATGTGAACTATTTACAACAGATTCATATTGTTCATTTCTATCGGGAGAATGGAGTAGATCATTTCTAATTGTTGAAGATAATTTTGTGAGTAATTTCGATGGATTCTCATCTAATGTTGATAAATTTTCAATTTCTGGTTCAGTTTCTGAGGTTGGAGAAAAACAATTTGAATTAATTATTTTAATATTTTGCGTTCCCTCATCGTCTACTTCTAGTTCACCTCCTTCATTTACATCGATTTGTCCTCCTTCTCCTCTACTATCATCATCTTCATCTACAGTTGTTGGTGAAGAAATTTTATTCCGAGTCGAATTGTGTCTACACTGTTCTTCTTCAAATTGTTCATGTGAAAATTGAAAATTATCACGATTATTATTATTATTATCAATATTACTATTATTATACTCTTCACGAATCGTTGAGACATTCTCCTTAAACGTTTGTTGAAATAAACTAGAATTTAAATTTTGCAGAATACTAGGTAATGGAATTGATGCATTCAATAATGAATGACAAGTTAAGCTTTGCTCATCCACCGATGATGCTAAGGTTGTTGCCGTTGTTGTTGTTGTTATGGTAGCTGCTGTTGATGATGATGATGGTGTTGGTGGAAATAGGAAGGGGAAAAAATTAAATAAATTCTGTGAAATTAAATTGTTATTGGATATTGAACGACTAAGATTATTGAAATAATAATTGTTGCTATGACTATTATTATTATGATGATGATCATTAGTAATAGTGTTATTTTGTGATTGTATCTGATAAATATCTCGATAATTTGATAAATTTGATAAGATTTGACTACAATGATCTGTAATTAATCTATCAGAATCTTTTATTTGATTAGGAATTAATGAATTTGATGTTTGTAATTTATGTATATTAGATGAATTTATACCAGATATTGAAATTGGCTCTTTAGAAGGTTTCAAACCAAGTGAACGTGGTATACGTGATAATAATTGTGATCCAGCTGCATTTGTTTTAAACCAACTATTACAAATTCCATTTTGATTATTTTGATCCCAATTAATATCTGGACACAGATAGAATGGCTCAGAAACACCACGAGCTTCTAATGGTCGTAAATTAGCATATATTTCAAATAATTCAACACAATTGAATGGAAGAGGTTGACGTTTAGCACTACCAGTACAACTAAGTGGTTGTGTTTTTGCTAATGGATCATGATTTGCAGCACCACCACGTGTTCCACCATAACCACGACAATAACGTACTTCAGCAGATTCAAATAATGGAGTGAATTTAATTGCTTTAATTCCATTATCATCAGTGATCAGTTGAAATTGACCCCAAACTAAATTTCGGTGTCTTTGTGTACCGCCAATATTGAATTGAGTTCTGTTCATAAGCCATAAACTATTCAGTATTGCCTAAAAAGCAGAAAACAAAAAGATATTTTTTTCAAGGCTGATTTGGGGATTTTTTTATAAGAAGGATCTCACGTTTTCCCGTTGTTGATATTAAAGAATATAGCCCATCAGTCTGTACTGAGAAATGTGCATTCACGATTGTACCACTAGGTATAAGTTTTGGAAAATTTGGGATAAAACTAGAAGCAGGATTTAAGAAGTAATTTTCGTCTTATTAGTGGCCCATCAGTATCCCAGTGCTGATTTTCATATTGATACTGGAACCCAGCAGGACATTGTAAACTCCTTACTAATACTTCTCACACTCATTGAACAAGTTAAGGATTATCTGGGGACCTAGCAGCTCAATGGATAATGTGTAAAACTTCAAAGCTAAAAGTGTTGGGATCGTATTTCCATATGATTATCAAAATGGGTGAAGCAAGTGTATTCAGTCGATGATAGTCGAATAGGGTAGAGCTCAATCCTTCAGATCAACTTTAATTAAATAAGTTCAAGTAGAGTATACAGTAATTCAAATAGATGAATTAATGACGAGAGACCGGAACGTCAGAAACCAGCTGATTCCCTGGCTGACCAAATCAACTTGTATAGGTTAATTTCTTCGTGCAAATATATTTGTTAGATTTATATTGTTATCATATATTCTCCAGATATAGTATGTCTATATACCTACATATATATGATTATTGGAATAATTCTAAACCCAAACTTTTGTATGAATGTTATTGAAATATCTAAGCATTGTTATTAATAGGCAGCTGATCAGAATAATCTATAAGGAATAGCCAATATACAACGTGGTTATATGTTTCTACATTGAAAGTAATGAACTACCAATGTCAACATAGAATTAAATTTTAAATGAATACCTCTGTATATACTAAATATGTTTTGACTATTGAAGCTATAACTTCATACAACTATTAACTACAACCATCCATAAACTTGCTAATACTTCTTATGAAGTGGGAAAAATCTCTCATTAGATCATCGAATAGCGAGTAACCTACACATACACACGAGTTCATATACAACTGAACTCAAAGTGTTTAGATCTTTAGTTGAACATGTTACCTCTAGATAATCTTCATTTTCTTTCATTGGTTTAAAAAATCCATAACAATATCGTAGAAACTATATTTTAATATTAGGTTAAGTTAATTAGACTCATTAGGCAAGTGGATAAGGCGTTGGGAGTTTGAAGTAAAAGATATAGAGTTCCAGTTTCGTCGTAAGCATTAACACTGAGATGCAGGCACATCCAACTAACAAGTCCACTGCTAACCGCTATCTAACTCTGCTTAAACTGCTTATAACTTATTAGCAATATCAAGGCAATCCATACAGGATGAATATAATCCAAAAGTGACTGGTCAGTTACAGTCTATAAAATCAACGTGAAGATTCAAACAACCAAAACAAATACTTTAGTTAGTACAACACCTTGAATCCCGAGTTCCCCTTCAATTCTTATTGTTGTCCGAATTAGTTATTTCCAAATTGGAAAAAAAATATATTCCGTGTTGGCTAGCCTCAATTAACGTGGCACATACTGTAAAGTCCTCAAATCATTTGAATTCAATAATCTAACATGTACCAATCAAATTTGATACAGTTAACTAGTAAAGTGTTTATATTCTTATTCATCACTTATAAATACCATCTCTACCTTTTGAAAGAGAACAGAAACAAAAATATACCACCTTAGAGATAAAACACACAGATATATACAACTTTATTTTAGGTCATTGACTTCTTTAACTAATTGGTTATGAAACAAATCAGTTCTGTATTAATTTCATACGGAAAAAAAGGAAACAAAATTAAAGTTTCATATTACATTACTTTTTCTATACGGATGAATATCAAATTTTCTAGTTTAATTATCAGACAGATTGTAGTAACAACCGTAAACTGTATTACAATATAAATATATTGAGTAGATATGTATAGACATGTCATGCTGTGTTAATTCAGTTTTCAGATCTAACGTAAATGACATTGGTTACTTTCTTTGGATTATGTTAACTAGCTGTGAAAAAATAATTTTTTTTAGTAGTTGAGGTCACGAGTCAATTGAAGCTAGATCACCATAGAAAACCTAGGAGCACTGGATGGCCGTTTCTTCCGATTGTGGGACTCCTCAGCAGTGCGCATCCACGACCCCGCCTCGTGGGATTCGAACCCAAGGCAGCAATGTCTTTTATTACTAAGATAGGTTCATATAGATTGTTCACTTCTATAAGAATCTTTTTCAGTGCAAATGAAGTCTCTCAATATTGTTACTTAACTGAACATTGGAAATGTGAATAAATTGTTCCTAACTCAATAATCTGACAGTAATTTATTCTTAGTGGGATGATAACTCACTGGTCAAGTAGTTCAAATTTCAGACTCTAAATGGCGGGTTTGAACCAAGTATTGTAACTAATCCTCATACTTATAGAGCGTGACTTTAAATCTAGTACACCAATCTCAAATTAGCGAAGGAATTAGTAACCCGTAATAAGTAATTTGTAAAGTCTGAAATTCTCAGGTTTGATCTCTGATAGGACCAAGTACTATACACTTCTGAGTAATTCCATACTAGAAACAAGACAATACTAGTTCAGTACTTCCATCAAGCTAGAATCACTCCTTATTATGAAACTACATTTATATAATTTTTTTCTTAAGCAGTCTTGGTTATAAGTGAATCTCAGTTGGGATATCAATGAAAAACAGTAAGCACTGGATAGTTATTTTCTCTTAGCGTAGGACCCCTCAACAATGAATATCTTTTTGTTCATTCATAAATTTAATTGTCTCTAATAATAATCATGAATAATGAAAGAAAACTAGTTGTTTTTAGCAAGTCATTTGGTTAAAAATTCAATATACATAGACAATCATCCTTAAACAGACAATGATGGTTTGTTTATGAGGACATTTATCCCTTATCCTTGATTATTGATTTGTTAACTAACAAATCACTCAGTAATACAATATGTTAATGAAATTCAACATCTACAAGTTATAATTTTCTAGTAATATTTATAATTTCTGAGCAGGTTAGCCTATGTGATTCTGTCATCTAGAGTTTATTTAGTTAAGATTTGAGGAACGGAATCCTTATAAATTACAATTTCGGTTACGTAATCTATTGCGGTAATTTTCTGAAATCATTTCAGACACCATTAACATATGCTTAGTGAAATGTACATTTTGCCGGTATATATGTAGTTTAAACCAATGTTATGTGTAATTAATCGACTGGTTGAACTCATTTCACATTAGATACATGAATAATATCTTTCGTTTCAACACATATCATATATTTTTCTTAGCGAACACAACTATTTTACTTCTTAGATAGGAGGACTTCATCAATTAATCATTGAATATTAGTTTTATTCTAGTTGATACTAGTTAGTAAGATGTATCTGTAATCTTAACAGGAATGGAGCTTTCCATCGGATAAAAACTTATCATAGACAGAAATGGTCAATCAACTACTCTTATCTCAAATTGTGTTCTTCAAAAACAACAACAACAACAACTGAATACTTACAGTGCTTAAATAAGCGTATTCAGTGTTGATTTACTTTTTACTTACTCGCTAATGTTCTTTCAAATTATACTAAACTGAAATGTATAGGAATTATTTTTTTTTTTGGAAGATGTAAAAACCTTTACATATCTGGGTAGTAACATTGATGAACACAGTGGATCTGATGCAGATGTGAAGGTGTTGATCGGCAAAGCAAGAGCAGCATATCTACAACCGAAGAACATTTGCAATTCAAAACGGCTGTCAACCAACACTAAGGTCAACATTTTCAATGCAAATGTCAAAACAGTTCTACTGTATGGGTCGGAAACTTGGAGAATTACGAAAGCCATCATCCAGAAGATACAAGTGTTTATTAACAGTTGTCTACGCAAAATATTTCGGATCCGTTGACCAGACACTATCAGCAACAACCTACTATGGGAGAGAACAACCCAGTTCCCAACGGAGGAAGAAATCAGGAAGAAGCGATGGAAGTGGATAGGACATACATTTAAGGAAGCACCCAAATGCGTCACGACGCAAGCCCTCACATGGAATCCTCAAGGTCAAAGGAGATAAAGGAAGACCAAAGAACACATTACGTCGAGAAATGGAGTCAGACATGAGAAATATGGACAAGAGTTGGACAGAACTGGAGAGGAAGGCCCAGGACAGAGTGAGTTGGAGAATGCTGGTCGGCGGCCTATGCTCCATTGGGAGTAACAGGCGTAGGTAAGTAGGAAATATATAAGAAAAAAACCGAAGAAATTCTTTATTTGTAATATGAACATTGTATTAACTTTATTAACTATTTAATGCTGAATTTCGTACTTACCTGAGGATTATCTGTACCAAGTATACGAGCTTGAAGTAGTTCAGCTGAAGATAATCCATTTGGATTAGAATTATGCTTTCTTGTATAATTAATTGGTCTGTTCTCTGATGTTGAATCATTACCAACTCCCGATACACGTTTATTACTGTTATTATGATTATTGGCACCATTTGATGAATAGGCATATGCACCATTAGTTGATACACCAGATCGACTGAGTGCACGTAATTCATTTAAACGTTGATTCAACACAGATCGTGTTCCAGCAAATGCATTACCTTTAAGCACTGAATGTGAATAGCCATGATGCTAAATAATTTTTTTTAAAGGAAAGGACATAACTGATTATTAGAAAACTGTTAGGACATGTATTTATTGTATTCTCTATGATATTGAATGGGAAATAAAAACCAAATATGAATTAAACCTTTAAGAGATAACTCCTCAAGTCAATCAGCCACTTTAAAAAAATCCTAATTTCAAATAATTAAGATATTCAAGAAGTGAAACTGTCATCATCATTAGCATTAAATGGTAGATGTTCAAAAAATATCAGAAACTGATTTAAGTTGAGATTGTATCATTGAACACAGACCCAACGATTCTAACGGTTGTGTCTGTCGTAAGATTTGAAGGTCATGAACACTATCGCGAGTAAAATTGCGGGTGCATACCACCTAGGAATTCCAAATGAGTTCAGCCTATGGAGAATATAACCTACAAATCAAACTAGTCTTTACAAGACTCAACTAAACTATAATAATCACCCTACTAGTAATGTACTTGAAAATGTGCTTAAGGTTCAAGTGAGAAATCATTACTTGAAGAGTTTAGATATGTCAGGATTGAAGCTATATCGTCCTTTATTCTTATCTGACTCGAATCATATACATCTATGAATGATTTATAAAATAGGAGAATTGATTCGCTACTAGTTTGCATTTATTTACAAATTAAGTCACAGATTTTTTCCAACTGTTGACATAGACAATATATAGCTTGTATTAGGTAACATGTTTTCTTAGAAATGTAAATATTCACGACAATAAATCACTGGTTGATCTTGGTTAAACAACCATTGAAATCAGGATGCACTAGACGGGTATTTAATCCTAGTATGGGACTTGTCAGCAGTATGAACCCACAACTCCATTAGGTATCAAACCAATGACTTTCAAACTCCTAATGAACACTTAACCACTAAGATGGTATCCAACAGTTTACATGTCTAAGTTTAATCAATCCACGGTATTACTCAACCATCTTCCACTGCTTTTGGTACATATAGATATTTACTAATTAATATATCTAGAATGAAAGAAAACTTACATAACCTCAAATACTGATTGAATTACGTTGATTTATTATATCACTATCAGTACAGTTTTTTACTGTGATGTAATCTGATCAGATTACAATGTATCAAGAATATTTACACTATCCAAGTATTTATTAAAACTGATACAGAAATGACAAAATTAGTACACTTTCTATGCATATATATGATATATTTTCTTCTAAATCTGTGTGTAATAAGAGTGCTGTGTATGTATGTGTGTACAGATGGATAGATGTATAAGTATGTTTGTAATAAAAGGATAGTTACACGGGGTACTATATATGAAATGATAAGAATAACTTGTATAATCAATGAAACCTCTTTATTGATTCTGATGGAGATTACATTTCAAAATGTATCAATTTATTCTTTATAGTGTATAAGAGATATTTCATACAGAAATTCATATATATATATATATACACTAAGAACATTGTCAATATATAGATAGACATCCTAAAGTATAATCACATATATATGCACTCACATTGAGATACCCTTCTTTTTAATGATAAACTTTAGTCATGATATATTTAATGTCAATAATAATAATATACTTTTACATATTTGAATTTACATTTTTTTACCCCCCAACAAACACAAAAAGAAAACGAATCAATTAATTGCAATCTAGTTATTGTTATAGAGTAGATTAATTATCTTTAAGTTATATACCTTAATATTACCGTGAATTTCTTTGTAACTTATCGGTCACATGAACACACATAGACAAGAGAGAGAGAGAGAGAGATTTAAAGATAGGGTTAAAGAAATTTGTGGAGATTGTTAAACATAACAGTTTTCATCATGGATTGAATTTTATTATACCATCCGTGTGAACAAAGCAACATTGAACAACTGTGGGATTATTGACTATTGAGTATCCATGATCATACCATAAATCGAAAACAGGAACTTTTGGTCTCTCTGGCATTCAATGGTTTAGATATTTAGCTTTAACGATATTCAGTCACTCCTTAACTAAGGTTAGTTCATGATATAAACTATGAAATATTTAAAAATATTTCTATTACTTATCTCTTACTGTCAAAGCGAAGTTGTATCGGAAAGTAAAAGACAATGACAATTAACTGTACGTACATACTTTGGTGTAGAGTGTTCTTAATATTCGAACGAGAGAGTTTGTAGAGGTATTTAGATCTTAAGAACAATTTGGTTTGTGGAATGACTTTAGCAGTATTCCGGAGATCAATGAACAATAACTTCATTCTTGTACAAAATACCTAAGCAGTGAACTCCTATGATCACATCAGGGATCTGGTCAACATATCACCTTAAGAGTGACCTTCATGAATTCGACATCCTGTAGGGGATAATGGGTAAGTACTATTGTGAAGGCTCATATGAAGACAAAATAATTGTTTGGGTGCTTCTTAGTGTTTAAGGGCTACTAAGGCTAAAGTCAATTGGTAATATAATTTGTCTTTAAATTAAATGATCTCCAAAAAAACTGTTCACCCCAAAAAAATTTCCATCAAAGAATTCTGTTGTTGACGTGTAAATTCGAAGTAACACTTTAACCCAGATATTTCAGGCAGAATTAAGAAAATTTTCATCTTAAGAGACTATTGAATTGGTCGAAAATAAACAGACTTTTGATATATATTGGGTACCATGTGATTCAGCCATAATTATAGGAGAGCGGTTGTTTTACCTAGTTCGAGTATTGATTGATTCGCTTAGGTTTCCTATTTAGTGAGACATTGATCATAAGGTAACAACCAAGAATAATACTTAGTGGATCTTGGTTCAGAATACAGTTCTCCTACACTCGCTCACTCACTCGATAGCCATAATAGAAAACAACACAGCAAGTAGATAACTTCTAATTATCCAGTTCAAAATTATGACTCGACTCATACACAAATATCGAGTAAAACATTGACCCCACACCAACAATAATTAAGAAATTACAGGATAAACACAACTACATCACAAGTGGAAGAGAACCAAGTTATAAGTCTGTAATAAATTAACAGTAACTTAAGTAAGATACAACACATAGCAAGAGTTTATGCACTATGAAAACAACATTGAAGTAAAGGAGTACAACAATACAATGATTTATATTGCAATAATATATAAACAATAGTGTTAGGTAGAAGTGTTGCTAAAATTCAGTTTTCTCTAATATTTACCCCGTTAATAACAAATGTTATTCAAAGGAAACAGTGTACTTCTAAGATAACTATAATTTAGTAAAAGTAGGAATTTTTAAATTTTAATCTATCGGGTAAGCATTTTGTGTAATAAATAAACATATATATTTGTAATATTCCAGTGAGTAGAAAAAATGAGATTTTCTGACGTTTCGTGACCTAATGTGAGCCACTTCCTCAGAGAATCAAAATTAATTTTAATTTAGTTATTTATTCTCTGAAGAAGTGGTTTACATTGAGTCACGAAACGTCAGAAAATCTCTTTTTTTCTACTCACTGGGATATTACAAATATATTAATTTTATTTATAACGATCTACTCAATGCTCAATTTGTTCGAACTTATCAAGTCAGACCTTAATAATGATACCTAAATTTCATGTAATGTACACATATACACATAATGTTAACTAACAATTCCCAGTACTTGATAATCGTTCTTTATGAATCTAAATAACTAATCTATGATTTAATGAAAAACAAAACGTCATCTTTTTGATGAAGTTTTGTTCTCTAAGCAAGATGATTTGATCATACATGAAGCTTTCATCATTCTCCTGAACAACATCATCAGCATCAACTTCAAGTAGACGTTTTTATCTTTCAATAATAAAACTTGAATCATTAAATAAATAGAATTATTTAATTTGGCCTAAATTTTGGCTAACATTATATTTTAATATAAAAAAATTTCATGAATTAATCAATCTGTATACATATTATACATGTATATGTGGTGTATGTGTCTCTCTCTCTATACATATATATGTGTGTGTGTCTATGTCTGTCTGTACAACATGTCTTATTTTGTATGTCTATTCATCAATCTATCCATTTGTCTGTTTGTCTATCTATACATATTTATATATATTCATTTGGATTTATATAATAAATAATGAATTTTTATGTTATGAATAGCGTTATTATTATTATTAAATCAAGGTAGTTGCCTATATTCTCCTATTTCTCTAAAGGAAATTAATGTTATTCTAACAATAATAATAATATTATTATTATTATTATAAAATGTAACCATATCAGGTGAGATACATCTGATATGGTTTTGATTAAAGAAATAAATAAATAAACAATTGTTAAATAACACAAAAAAATTATTGATTTTGGAAAAAGAACACATAATTAATTAAAATTACAATTACAAAAAATAAAATATTGTAATTTGGTAAATGGAAAGATACTGTTATGAGTATTAGAATTAGATCCAGTATTGATTTATAAGTTGATTTTACTGTAGAATTGTAAAATAGATAGGAATCTGTTAAATAATCTTGTGGTTAAATGATTTAAAAGGATAAATGTAGAAGTGCTACCCCTTAAATACCCTAGTACGCCTGAGAGTGGGGAGAGCCAACCCTCTCTCTCTCTCTCGAAATGTTCTCACATGGTCATGTGTATATAGCCTTGACAGAGAAGTTCTACCCACTGCCTTCCCGCGGCATTACTGTTGTTTACCAAATTGAGAGGACGAAAAGCCAATGTCCGGCGCTTTAACCGGGTTGGTGCATATAGATGATCTACCTAGGTGAGTTGGAAAATCCTCATTTCAAACCAATGGTGCACATGGGCTCCAGTATCCCGAAGGAACAAATGGTGCATGAGCACATTGTTGGTCACCGGCCACCATGGGACTGAATCTCCTGACGTTGTTTCACTGCATTGTGGATTAGACCTTTCGGTCAAAGGCTCGGGTTGTGGCCCCTAAGAAAACCACCTGCTCCGGTTTGGGCACCTGGGTAGTTTTCCAACCCTTACGATTTATGTGGTGGATATCTATTTGGTGCCTTCTTGTATCTATGTTTATGTGTTTAAAGGAATAAATAGAAGAAAGTTGGTCTTGCTAAGGATCGATACCAAACTAGAAAAATATTCAAAGACCAGAGAGTACTAGATATTTATTCCTAGTTGTAAGACTACTCAGTAATACATATCTATAACATTTCCAGAGATTGAATCTTGAGAAACTTCAGACCTTACAGTAACCAAATTCAACCATGAAGGTACTCAGATAATTAGTCACCAAGTTAGGTACTTAAGAAAACTAGTAAACATAATGTTTCTGTAGTTGTTTGTATGATATCAAATTTCCTGAACTAATAATGAGATCCTGTTACCTGTAAATAACTGTTTAGCTACATCACAATCTGATTGAAATACAACATTATAGCTATTAAAAGTCGGATGAGTAATTCAATGTTATCCTATTGTATTGCAAACAAATAGATCCTAGTTTAGAATCTCGCGCAAGATTACAGGTGACTTTTTTTTATAGTTCTCTAAGGTTTATCGAATAATTTCAGTTCGAAATGAAAACGATAACTTCTGTTCATAGGACATCAAAAGTACACAAATCCATCCAATAAATACATGAACTGGAGTAGATAAAACAAAATTCACGGTATCACTTTTCAAAATATTTCTAATTTTTTGTAATACATTTGTCTTATCCATGTTTCCATTGTTTAGAATATCTCTAGAAGTTCTTAGAAGTCCAATACTTCATTTGTCTATTAATTTATAAAATCATATGATTAAATACTTTTCCCAAACTTAATTCATTAGTTCTAGCGAGAAGTAGTGACAAGTGGAGTTCAACCAGGTCTGTTGTGAGATAGTAACTCACTGAAGACAATGGTGAATGTGTCGCTCAATTTCGTGGATTAGTTGAAGTTAGACATTAACACCGTTGGATGCCAACCGGCTCGGTGATCTAGTGGTTAAGTGCTCGCGCGCGAAACCAGTAGGTCCTGGGTTGGAATCCCGCAGGGGGCGAAGTCGTGGATGCGCACTGCTGAGGAGTCCCACGATAGGATGAAACGGCCGTCCAGTGCTTCCAGGTTTTCCATGTTGGTCTAGCTTCAACTGCCTCATGATCTTAACCATTAAAATTACTATAATATCCACAAAACCCATCTGATATTAAATTACCTATATGTTAGATTATTAATTAGGCAATACAATTAATTACATGCTTATGATAATTTTTATGAGCAAATAAAGATGATGGACGTCCGGACCTTAGAATATCAAATTTGTGACTATGATAATTGATTCAACTAGGGAAAGCTATACTCTTCAATGAGCATATTATCTCGTTAAGTATATCATAATGAATTCTACCGAAGGATTCTTCTCAAATTGTATCAAGAATTCAATGCATTAAACTTCATATTATTATTAGACATTATGAGAAGTTGAATAACGTGTTACCATGTAAATTAATGAAAATCACTAATTACAAATAATTTATTTCACTTACTTTTAAATGTCTTTCTAGTGAATGTACAAATGCTTTCAATGATTCCGGTTCATATTCGTGTCCATCTTTCTTTTTCGCGGTAAGTACAAAGTCCTGTAATGTAATATGAATAAACTTAAGAAGTAATTGAATATAATAATTGTATTAGTTGTCAAGTAGAATTTATGTTTGAAAAATAACCTATGAGGATTATAGTATTCTACCTTACATATCTGTAAACGATCAAATAACTTGATATATCGAGTAAAAGATTCACATAAGTATAAAATCAGTATAGAGATTATTAACTGATATGAAGTAATCAACAAGAAGCTCCAAATTTAATTTGCATGTTAGTGGGGATTCACTAACAAAACATCGTTACCCTAACAGCTTGGTAGGGACGTCTCAGGTTGTGGAGTTGTCTAATGCAAGCTTAAATCCCTCAAGGAGTGTCATTTTCCTCAAGTAAAACTTCCTGACGAGTCCCAACCATCATTAAACCTCGGTGAATCAAGATTTTCTATTGACTAGCTTCAACTATTTAATATCAGAATGTGATCCACACGACGTTGAGTCACATATTAATGTTTACTTTATAAATTGATCGGCGGAATTTAGTTAACACCAAATAGTAAACAAATAAGACAGTGGCCAGTACTCAGTGATCAGTCACTGTGAATATGGCTGTTAGAAGTAAATATTATTCTTGTATCCAAAGATTAAATGAATGGTAACTTTCGGGAAGTATTTATAGACTGTCATTATATATATTCTTATTGCATAAACATAAAGTGAATAGATTATGGATATATGTTTATATTTCTTTTACCATAAGCTTTTATTCGATCTATTAGCTAGTATTATACTATTTACTATTCTTAATTTATTCCCAATCTATTTGTTACAGTCTTCTATTCAGCCACTTTGGCTTGATCTTGTATAACTTTTATTTTGTATTTTGTGGTGTGATGCGGTCTGAAATATATTGTTAATACCGTGGAAGCGGCTACTGTGTTCTGAACTCAAAGGGCAAAACTAGGAGAGAAGCTATTAAATAGGGGACCAATAAGGATTCAGAGTTGGCTCAAGGTTGCTAGTGCTGGTTGACGTGACACTGGCTTAGCACAGGAACAAGGTTATAGGATTCGATATTCTGACTGGCGATTTTGTCACATGATAACTAACAGATGCATTAGTCATGACAGTTTTTCTTTGAAAAGAATTTTCATTTATTGAAATGATTATGCACGTATAACAGATTATTTAACCACCAACTTTCTCAGCACTCAAAGTTGTCTAGTGTTAAATGTAAAGTGGATGTAATCAAACCAATACATAACAGTTGTTCACGAATTCATTAATTGTTGAAGTGAATCATGTATGAGAATGTGTAAACTACGTGGTTAGGGGCTGAAGGAGTTAAGTGGTACAGGTTGAGAAGCCATTTACTTAATTTCTTCTCTTGGATGATTTTGAACCATAATCTTTCTGTTTAGTCTTTTACAATCGCAGATAAACAGATTACTTTAACTTTTCAATGTTCACCCTGTTAATTTCTGATTGTTATGTTGTGGAAGTATGATAACTTGAGCCAATGAACTTTGTATTAAAACAATTTTAATGCGATCATTCAAGTTTAAAATAGTTTACAGGTAAGACTATAATGTATAGACGACCTTTATACGACGCCAATAGTGACCTTAACAATGTTCCTCTACTTACTAGAGCTAAATGAGGGTAATAAAGCAGTTTGAAGAATAAGGAATATGTTTTACAATCGATGGTTAGGGTTAGGAATTAGATTTATGGTTTTTATCACGAACTGATACCAACTAAAATACCACAGCGCTATTTAGACAAATGGGTAAACGAATTTGCATCAAAATCCAAGATCTCTTTTCTTAACTCTGATTAGTTCGTCCCTAGTTTACATTATCCAACTTTGATCCTATATGTATATTATGTTATAAAATGATAATTTAATCAATATTATTGATGGATTATTGTAAGACACTTATTCCAACCGACTTTCACTTTATTTAAAGCTAATTTCCCAATGAAATAGTTATATTCAATCATTCATCATTTTGAATAGCTTCTTTACAATTAATATTAGATCATGATGAGAATCTGATGAAATCATCCTTAAATTACTTAATTCAATATTATAATCCATATATCTTATCAAATATATAAATATTAAATAATTAAAAAAAAATACAGGTAAATAAATACTACTAATAATAGCTTTTTACCTATATGACCTCAGACAATAATAACTTAACAGTTTTGTTTATCTGTTGTTGTTGTTGTTGTTGTTGTTGTTCAATGTATAATAATGTTCAATACTAATTAATGATAAAATAAACAAAAATATTAGAATATTCATTTATTCCAATCATACTTTTTTCTCTCTCAACTTGAATCAAATCTAATTACTTATTAACTGATCGAAATACGAACTTATAATAATAATGGTAATAGTAATAATAATAGTGATGGTAATAGTAATGATATTAATAATAGTAATAGTAGTAGTAGTAGTATAATAATAATAATAATAGTGATGGTATGAAAAATCAAATGGATATAAATATATATATGAAGAGCTGAACACTTCTTCATGTATATACATAGGCAATACAAATGTGTTGTATCCATGTGTGCATGTAAATGACTGAAGATGATTGAATTTTGAAAAAAAAATTACAGTGACCGCTAAAAAATATTATTATTGTTATCATTATTATTATTATTATTATTATTATTATTATTATTAATATCAATATCCTGTATCCAACGGAATAGCATATGATTTCATGTTTACACTTTTCTATCTCAGGTACACTTTATAAATAAAAGAATAGAGAATATATAACTTAAGTTTTCACCTAATTAAATTAATTCTAAATAGTTTATTAAGTTTAAGGATGTAAAAAAAAATAATAGTTTGTAGTTTATTTTGTGGTTTATTCAAGTAATGATTGAGGTATTAACTATCATCATTTATTAATAACTGTACAATTAAACATGAACAGTATGTATATATAGAGAGAGTCGAGGGTTGACAGATGGTTAAATTTGAACATCTGAACTGATAGAAATTGATTAGTACTAAGAACTATGTAAACATGATGTTGATTACTACTCTGAATAATCAATCTAAATTTTCGGTATGGAGTTGGGAAGATTGTGAATATCAACATTGGAATGTATGTATATCCAGCTGATGACTTCGAAATAGGACGAAACATTTGCTCTGAATTCCACTGCTAGTCACTATTCATCTTTGTTTATAAAGCTCATGACTTAAGGTAATATCGAGGCAGTCCGCACAGGATGCACATGTGCCAACAAGAGAATGGTCAATTACAGTCCTAATCAACAGTGGAAGATACAAGCAAACAATACCGAGTGAATTGTTGAATTTCATTTAAATTGTGAAACGATCTAAGTTAGACCATTATTAAAAACCTGGAAGCTTTGGTCTTAGGTTTGATTCCTAGGTCCAGGATCGTGGATGGGCACTGCTGAAGAGTCTTGTACTAAAACAAAATGGTCATATAGTGCTTCCAGGTTCTCAATGGTGGTCTATCTTAGGCGAGTTCATAAGTTCTGCGAAAATTAATGTTACTATCTCATTCTTATAAAAGATTGATTTCGACACGAGGAGATCAGTGTTAACATTTCAGGATGTGATACTGAGTGATCTGTGCTCAAATCCATCAGGAAACACCAACTCACTCAAGATTACATGTACTATTTACTGAAATGTTCCAACTAGGATGAAATCTAAGTTGAAGATTTTCTGCCAACTACCTTTAACCACCTAACTTTAAAACCTGTGGATTAGACATTCATTAAACATAATGGAGTTTTACGAGTAATAACTTGATAGATAACATTCTGTTCATGTTTTGAATTATTTCTTTCGGCTTTTTAGGCATTAATCTTTAGTATTGACTTTTATTTAATGGTATGTATATGCATTAATTGATCGTTGAGTAGTAACTGATGATATGTTTATCTAGTTCTTAGTCGTGATCGAATTCTAACTGCTAAATTGAAATGTGATGGTTAAATAAACTGACACAACATCATGTGTATTGTGTCTTAATGCTAGGTGGTTTGATAAATCAGGTAGCAAACCCTGTGTGAATCGAAATTTCGTCTGTACCTATGAAGGGACTGATGATTTCTGAGGGTTTTGAGCCCAAGTTATGCAACTTCTCAATCTGAGATGTTACCACCGAGCTGTTCAGGCTGTGAATGATCATGTGTAAGACAAAAATGTCCATATTGATTAATTATTGAGTGCTAATTTTGTTTGTCTGTGATATTGTCTATGACAGTTAGGGATGCGGAGTTGTGCCTGCACACACGGAATAATATCATTACTCAACAGTGTACAAAAATTAAACCAAATCATGGAACTAAACAAACTCACGTTTCTTCATGAAATGAATGCTTTTGCATTAAAACATTTCAATCTACTTCCCATAACTTAACAATTATTGAAATAGATTACGTCAGAGTATTGGTTATCCTTTATTAATTGTTGATGTAAAGAATTTCCAACTACTAATGTAGATTCTCAAGTAATATGTATATACGGTTTGTCATTTTCAGCATGTACTTTTGTTAACTGAAACACCCTAGTATAACTAGGGTACTGTATCTTTCTAGCAAGTAAACGAGCAGGTTTTAATTAAATTCCTTAAAATTTTAATGATAACCTATGACCTGTGCTGTTAACGAAGTCAGGTGCATTATATAGTATTATAGTGGATGCTAATCTTAAGGATATTTTTAAGTAGTGTGTGGAGGAGTGTGGCGTCGAAATTGCAACAATTGTCAGACGGAGTGAGGAGTTTTAGCAACTCAAAAGCACGGTGCTGACATAATACGTGGAAACCGAATGAGAAGACAATTCAGACTGTAAAACACATTGAAGTATGCAAATGGACGATTGAAGGCTATGTGTATGTATTATATAAATACTATGTAACTGTATACATTCTTCCTACCTATTGTCCTGTTTTGTAGCATCTTACCAGTAAAACTGAGTGAATATCACGTTGTGTTCTATGTCCAATGTAGATGTCTCATATATTTTCATTCAATAACTAAACAATATCTTGTTTGTGTTTGTTTTGTATACCAGTGATGAAATTAAGAAACTGGGATAAGTCTCACTTAATTTGCCTTACGCTAAAATTTCTGACAAATTGGGAAAGTAATTTGCAACTTCAGTCAATGCTACATAAATATCCAGGAAGCACTAAGATTCTCATAGGTACATATCCACACAGGATCGAACCCAGATCTTTTCAGGTTTTACAGATAGCACTTTTAAGTAATTAAACCACTGAGTCGGCACTTTGTAGTTTATATTTTCAACTTTAATCTCTGATCGCCATAACCCCACCATACTAATAGAAAAAATTTTTATTAATTAAACCTACTTGTATATAACTGTCTAATTCATGACAAGGTATTTGATGAATTTCTCGTGTATCATGTTTAATTTGTATTAAATATCTATGTATTACTTTCATATCAGAACGTGTTTTTCTTAATGTATTATGTACAGCACCATTAATATGTATTGTACTACTAGTAGAAGTAGTAGTAGTATTAGTAGTAGTTGAATGTGTTTGTTGTTGTTGTTGTTCCGGTGTAGAACATGGTAAATTTTGATCATATAATTCATTCGACACACTACTACATGTACTATTATTAACATTACAATTCATTGTATTATTAGCATGATGTTGAATTGGACTATGATCAATATGATCATTTGAATGATGAATAAGATTTTCCGATTCCAATGGAGTTAACTTGTCAATAGTTTCTTGTTCATTGTTTAATTTATTATTATTATTATTATTGTTATTATTATTATATTCAAATGAACATGTTTGTGGCGTATGATAGAAAGTTGAACAAACTGGTATAGTATTAACATTCCAATGATTATCATTTTTACTGATTGTTGTTATATTATTAGTATTGGTAATAGTTGTAGAAAGATTAATACTTGTATTATTATCATTATTATTTGATATAGTTAATTCAATCTGTGGTGATGATGTAATTATTCGATTGTTGCCATGACTATTGAAATGTTCAATGTTTAATTTTAACTTGTTTCTTGTTGATGAACCATTTATATCATTGATCTCTGTTATTCGATTGGTAAAATGAGTATTATTATTATTGCTATTATCATTAGTAGTAGTATTAGTGGTAATAATATTATTATTGTTATTATTATTAAATAATGTTTGATTTTTCTCTAATAACTGAATTGTATGCTTAGCATACTTTTGCAATAACTCGTTATTGTTTAATTCATTATATGAAGATTTCAACAACGATGATGATGATGATGAAGAAGAAACAGGACCAAAACTAGAAACTGAGGAAGGAGGCCATAACATTGGGAAATGTGGAAATAAATTGAGTAGTTTCCAAAATTGTTAGTATTTTCATCTAAAAATAAAAAATAGAAATGTAAAAAGTCGTGCTATTTCTATCATATCAAACTGTATTCAATGTTATAATATTCAATTTTATCAGTATGGCGTTGTGGAGATTTTGATTGAGGTCATGAACCAATTGATATTCGATCACCGGTGAAAACCTGGAAGCATTGGACGGCCGTTTCGCCATAAGGTTCTACAAAGCAGTACGCATCCACGATCCCGTCCTCGGGATTCGAACCCAGGGGCTTTGGTCTCGCGCACGAACGCTTAACCTACCTGACCACTGAGTCGGCATCCAACTGTGTTAATATCTAACCTCCATTTTAATTTGGAAAATGTTCAAAAATATCAAGGAAACATAAAGATGACTGGTTTATCTTGGTATTGGGTTAATGATTTGTGTGTATACTCATCACATTAATCAAAGATTGAATTTAAAACTATTAGGTTTCATGAAATAATGTATTGTCATTATGTAATACCTTTAACAAGTGTAGGCTTGTATACACGGCTCTGAGTTTAACTTAAGGTGTATGAGGACTGGTAAAAGCTTCATAAGTTGAAGTAAGTAAGGTTTCAAGCCTGCTACCTATCATCTAAAAGCTAAGTACTTTAATCACTAATCCATAGTACTTTGAGTCAGGATCTACTGGATCAGCATTTACAATTCATAATAATTCACAATTATTATTTAGTATTATTATTGACGATGCCTGTGATACTCCATGTATGGTACCTTTTACACTGATTGTGTTCAATCATGTTGTGAATGAGATAGTCCTCATCACAAGTACAATAAAATTTATAGCTAGACATAGAATCACTCTTTAAAATGTCCAATGAAACCCACTAACTAAACGAGAAAAAAAATGATTAAAAATGCTGATTATGACACATATGATGAATGTTACGAATAATCTCAGCCTAATAGACCCATCTATAAACTATTTTCTTAAAAATTAGAATGATATTAAACAACAAACTAATCTAATGACTACTTCATATAACTTAATGAGTAATAGCACTAATACTTCAACTAGCGAATACACATACATTGGGTAATCATCATGTATTTTAAAATAATAAATCAGAACAGAAACTCCATATATATATATGGGTAATGAATTCTTCTGGTTACTTTGAATATGATTAAGCAAGTTATCGTTATAATAGTGTTACTTATTAGTAGTATTCCATAATTTAGAAAACAACTTTGTAGCATTAACGTTAATGATAATGTCAAAACCTGAATTGCTAAATATTGCATTTATCTAATTGTGAATATATATATATATATATATATATATATATATATATATATATATATCAGATATGATAATTGTAGATAAATTTATTATTTTGCACCGATAATTAAGTGAGGGAGGGAGAGAGAGAGAACATACTAAAACCAGTAACGTTTATTTCACAAAAAGTGTGTACTTTCTCTCTCTCTCTCTCTCTCTATATATATATATATATATATATATATATATATATATATATATATATATACGAATGTTTAGTATATCGCTAATACGCATCTGGATTTGCACGAAATTGCCAGGGTAACCGACTGACACATAATAATTCACGAATTATCCCTCAACGTGGTGGAAGCCAAGTAGAAACCAGTAAATCAGAGAAATCTTTTTATTCAAGAAGACTGAATTATAATCGGATAACTACGTGATCATAGCAACCAACAATAATCTTGGATCCAATAATACAATAATCAAACTTAAAGTGTAAACAACTAATCAAATAGCAACAAAAACTATTGAGGAATCATCATCAGTATCATCGTCGCTGTCTCAACATGCACATGGAAGCTATCATTTTGGATAAAAAATTGTACATAACCTGGAATCTTACTGATATATGTGTCAATAGGGTCAAATGAGTCATTATTAAAAAAAACGACTAATTTATACCTAACTCATTGGTTTCATATGAAGTTGAGATTTATATGTTTTGATTGTGAAGTTTGTATGGGCTATTAGATGTCATTTTACTAGTCTGATGATCTATTGCTGGACCTTGAAACCTGAGGGTCATCGATTTAATCCTTGGTTATGGGTCACAAAGAGACAGGGTTAAGGAATCCCACTAATTTGAACGACATAATTACCAAACACAGTCTTGGCTCATTCAATGATACTATGATACATGCCAATACTGTAACTTTAACAATTGTCATTAGTACTTAACTCATTAATTTGATCTAGTTATTTACAAACAATGAGGTTTCTAAATTGATATAGATCTATGTTCGATTTATTTTTTGACAATAAACTGGTGTAATGAAAGGGAAAATAAGTCAGTCTCTAATTACAGAGTTTAATAATATGTCAGTTACAGTTGTTGTATTGACTACTTAATATTATTATTACTACTAAATGAATGAGTTAAATCATGTATGTCATTTGTTCATCATGATTTGTATGATAATCTATTTTTTTGATTGAAATCATGAACCGATTGATGTTAGATCACTATTGACACCAGTACAATGGAAGTTGGTCGCGCAAATTCGTGGGTTGGTTGAGGTTAAACATTAACACTGTTGGATACCGACTCAGTGGTCAGGTAGGTTAAGCGTTCACGTGCAAGACCAAAGACCCTAGGCTCGAATCTCGTGAGCGGGACTGTGGATGCCTACTGCTGAAGAGCCCCACGTTAGGACGAAACGGTCGTCTAATGCTTCCAGGTTTTCAATGGTGATCTAATATCATGATCTCAATCAAAAGCTTGATAATCTCCACATCCCCTATACTGATAATTTATTTTTTACTTAAACGAAAAAAAATGCTGATGACCAATACGTTAACATTTCATGTTTAATAATACTGAGTGATTTTATTAATTACATAATTTGTAAAATATAAGGATTATATACTAATCTTTGCAATGTAAATTTCACATATTTAATGTTTATACTACTTAAATTGACTACTTAATGGTTAAAGCTGAATATTTGTCCTACATTAGTTCATGAAGTGATTAATTATTGATCTGAACAATATTTGCAAATGTAGATCACTTAGTTTTAATTCGTGTGATAACTATGTTTGATAGTTGAAGACATTGTGTATCATGGCATAAAATCAGTCAAAATTGAGTAGATCCATTCACTCTTTATACTACTCTAATTCTTATGTTCTAGTGCTCCTAAAGACGTTGTTTTCCACGCTTTTTTTAAACTATATTACTAATGGTTAGTTATCCCCTTTATTATTGGTAATACTGATGTCGACAGATATAAATAGTATATATCACCAATGGAATATGGAATACACGAAGGTAGAAGGTTAAGAAAGTCAAAGAGAAGAAGACAAGAACAGAGAGAGTGATTAATATAGAAATGAAGGAATAATCAAGTCTGAAACAATTGATCAACATTTTACAAATGATCTATTTACTTCACAATTCTCAAATTTATCAAGATATTCTATAATGTTGTCTTCGCTGACATTCTCGTTCAGTGCACTATGATTATTTAAACTCTCCTGTTATTTTACTACATTCATTTCATATCTTCATATATATATATATATATATATATATATATATGATATAAGCAAAATGTAACACATAAGCTTAAACCCAACTTCTTGAAGTTTATACTTTCCATAGTTTGCTTATTCAGATAATATTTTAGATCAAAATAGAAAAACTACTTAAAACTTTAATCATATAATTTGGTCATTTTAACTAAACTAATAATTTCATATTATCTTTCTTTAGTATTATTATTATTATTAGAATTAGAATTGAAATGAATGTAACAAGCTGTAACAGTGGTCATTGTTATTAAATTATTGGCAACAATACTCTATAACAATTGATTGATAGAGTAAGTTGAATAACAGTGGGGTTTTTTGTTTCTTTTTGCTTTCTATTAAAAACAAAAATGGAATAATATGTATATGTTCCTTTAGAAGAAAAATATTTTTTTAATGTGTAATATATTAATTTTTCATGAAACACTCCATCAGTATCCGGAAACTGGTATCACTCTAACCCACATTAACAAGAGCATATATATATCCCTTGGATTTATTAACCTTATATTTTATAAAAGATAGATAGATAAATAGATGAGGTGGATGGATATGGATGGTGATGATTGAATTATAAGCTGAAAGTCCAATCTTCTTTATTTACTAATAATCACTAAATTAAGATTTTTTTTACAACCAAAAAATATTGTCTGTTTAATTCATTACTATTACTATTAGTAGTAGTAGTAGTAGTAACGGTAGTGTTATTATTATTATTATTAACTGACATAAAGTATTAGTTTTAAGGAGAAAACCCTTATAAACCTTATCGTTTCATTCATTCTCATTAGGGATATATATTTACATATATACAAATATTAACTAGAGGACAGGTTATCAATACTAACAATATCACTAATAGTAATAATAATATTAATGAGTAACCCTGTAATACCATAAATGATAAAAAGCATATATAACCACATATACACGTATGCGTGTGTATGTATCTTTGTTTGAGTAAGTGAAATCACAGAGGAAGGATACGAGAAGAAAAGTATAAATAATACGAATAACTTTGGGGGCATATACTACTATTATAATACTAAGACATTGATAATGATAAAAATAAGGGTGTAATAATTAATTTGTTTTACTGAAATAGTATATATATGTGTATATATTTTTAATACATTCCCTATCGCCTACGTTTTATTCATAGTAATAATAATAATAATATTCTTCCTACACATTACATATGTATCGTACCATGGCCTTTCAGTAGATACCTTTCTTTTCGTCTTGACTGTCTCGTTAAGTGCTTATACATAAAATTTCACAACTATACACATTGATAAACATAGATAGAAAATATTCTTTTGAGCACTTATATACTACTAATACCCTTGTTAGTAATAACAGTAGTGCTAGTAGTTGAAATAGCAAAGATAGTAC